TTACAAACTTGAAGTTAAAATACATAAACGGCAACAACAACAGGAACTAAGGAGAGACAGAATCACAAATCCCAAGCCCTACTAAAACAGAGACAAACTCAGTTCGTCTAGTATTGTACGCTTGTCTTGTATCAAATGCGGCGCCCTTCACTGTACTTTTTTTAGTTGCCAGAAAATTATATTAGCCCAGAGTGCTGATCTGCCCAACATAACAATGATGTGACGTCACACTCGACTGTGTGAAGGGCAATGACAAATGTAACCATTTTGTTAAGTAAGGTCTCGTTTTGCTCTCACAGAAGACCTCCTTCTTCCATAATCTCTGTGTCTATACCAAACAGATAATCTTATAGATCATAAAATCAAATATATAAACGTTGTTAGAGATACGTTAGTTACCTACAATATTCATACAGCATTTATCAAAAACATGGCGTATCCTGAAGGATTCAAATTCGCTGTCTGGATTATTTTTCACATCTGCTATTCATTTCAGTAACCATTTGGTACTTCTGAGCGACATTAATCAAACTCTCCTTTGTATATGTTACGATTTCTTAGTAATAATAAATAATTAGAGGTTCTTATATACCGCTTTAACACAACCTAGTCGTAGGTCTCCTCAAAGCGGTTCACAAATTATTATCCGTGGTTATAGGGCCTTTGCAACCAGCCAATATCTTTCTCAGCTCCCTGGGGAGCATACAGCCGGTGCTGCCATTTCGGCGCTCAAAGCTAGCATTCAACAATTCTAGCATTGCCCAACAACGTACTCATTTACAGCTGAGTAGACTGGAACAAGCGGAGTAAAGTATCTTGCTCAAAGATACAGCACAGTGTCCCGACGTGACTCGAACCCGCAACCCGTCGGTCACGAACCCGGCGTCCTACCACTAGACTACCGCGCCTCTTCCGTAGTTTTGTCTATACATAATAAGATCCCTTCATATTAGAAATGAAAGAACGTTCTGTATATTATAACATATTTTGAAGGAGTCCTGTCAAACTGGTTTTATTCCTGATATTGTGAGAATACTTCGCAAGTATGATTTGTTTAATTATCTGTTGCAGTATATATCAGATACAGTTTTTCCAAGTAGTTCATCATGGAAGTCAATTTCCTATAAAGCAGTTTAAGATTTTTGCTCATTCATGATGTAATTTCTCCACATATTTTATGGACAGTAGCATTAAAATTCCCTGAACATCTAAGCAAGATAAGCAATATAGTTCGATGATGTGCTATTTTAAGATCAACAAATATTATTGAATTATGCCATTTTTGTGGTATTTTACATAATTACTGTATAACACATACAGTAATCCATTGTACAAAAACTGAAAGTCTTAGAGACGATCTATGGTGTCTTATAAGTACGGCTTTTGATATAGAACTTGGCGTGTTCTTATCCTCTTTGTCTGATTATGATTTAATTCATGTATTACTAAGGGGTAGCCTTCCCCACATATTAAGCTCAACTGATTATGTAACCTTTGTACTGCATAATGCTATTTTTATTGACAAAATGTTGCTGTTGTATCAGCGTTGATAATGATATAACACGTACAAACGTACGTACAATAGCAATGTCTAGCAATTTTTTTTTTTTTTTTTTTTGTTCTCTTATTTTGTGTGTGTTTATGTGTGGGTAAGCCTGAGAAGACCTTGTTGGTAGGGCTTTCCCCAACCCTTGGAAACCTCAGGATTCCCAGGCATTCTAATTATTTTGTATGATTTGCTGTTCTTTCTGTATTTACTAAACTAATTCAAGTTTCATAACTTCTCTCTTCATCTCTGTAGTTAACAGATGTATTTATGTGCATGTAAGTATCAATTAATAATATTTGATTTGTATTTTGACTACACTGTATATTTTTGTACCTCTTCAATTTGGAGGAAATAAAGAAATAATAATAAAAGGGCCTTTTCAACCAGCCAATATCTTTCTCAGCTCCCTGGGGAGCATACAGCCGGTGCTGCCATTTCGGCGCTCAAAGCTAGCATTCAACAATTCTAGCATTGCCCAACAACGAACTCATTTACAGCTGAGAAGACTGGAACAAGCGGAGTAAAGTATCTTGCTCAAAGATACAGCACAGTGTCCCGACGTGACTCGAACCCTCAACCCGTCGGTCACGAACCCGGCGTCCTACCACTAGACTACCGCGCCTCTTCCGTAGTTTTGTCTATACATAATAAGATCCCTTCATATTAGAAATGAAAGAACGTTCTATATATTATAACATGCATACGATGTATTTCAGGTGTCTAGACTACGCCAAAACAGCGGGAAAGGACTTACTGGTAGCTAGACGGTGTCCCCGGAACAGGTAAAACATAATACCACAGCGGGAAAGGACTTCCTGGTAGCTAGACGGTGTCCCCGGAACAGGTAGAACATAGTACCACAGCTGATATGTGGTGCGCACTAAGAAAATCCTAAACTACCAGGAAGTTGTAAATTGATTTGAATTGAATTGAAATACCTTCTGTTTACCAAAACACATTGATGTTTGATCATGCTATAATCCATTACCAGCCTTTTTTAGTTCCAGCTGACTACCTGACTTGCAGCGCTAATACAGCGTCACATTAAGTAATGTAACGTGTCCATGATTAAAACAAAATTTCATTTTCTATATAACAATATTAATGCTTTTTCTCCAATATGAAGTCCAGATAAAAACTAGATGATCATACTGGTTATTACAGTAACGACGTACATGTATGCTGCACGGTAACTCACCAACAATTAAAACAGTATATGTAGCACTGCAGACAGGACGCCGACCAATGAATTGTTCGAAACGTTTTACTAAGTATGTGTCAAATTTTAACTTTGCTGTGCGATGTTATGCTCAACAGATTACATACAGTATATCAACCTTTCTCGCAGACATCTTTTTGAGATTTTTTCATCAAAACTGTATATAATTTCAAAAGTCACAGAAAATACAAACAGGTCTTAACAAAACCTAATTTTGATTTAAACATGCATGGCTCTGTACGTAAGACATCGACAATGCCAATGTATGTAGAAAAAGTCGTTTGGGCAAGGTTTCTTTCAAAGTTTCAACTAGAACAATATTTTACAAATTATCGAAACGGCAAATTAGATAAAGATAGAGACAGTAAATGTCCAACATGCCTTCGCTACTCGATATTTTTCTAACTGCCTTGATTTGGTTATGACAATTTCCAAATTGTTTTGAAAGGGAACCTTCTTTTTCCTATGTGTCATATGCGATAGACGGTCATATGTAGTCGCTAGTCTGTTGTTCTGGTCTGTCATAGAGATAAATACCGCTGCTTTACCCGATGCCTTCATCAAATGAAATGATTCATTGCAATTCAACCAGACAAAAACCAAGTCAAGTATCATTTTATTCATAAAATACACATATCACCTCACGTTGACGTCATTCATCATCACATTGAAAATGCATACACATAGTTTGTCCTTTCAATCGAACCAGGAAGATGTTTCAACACACACAAAGCCATGGAGTCGCCGAGTACCTTTGATAGCAATGTGTTCGTGAAATCGCCGCATATTTATGGAAACAGGGCTGTAATGGGTCGTGCTGTATTGAAATACGACACAAGTACAAGGCAGTTTAAATTACGAATGGTTACATCCCTTACAGTGAGATATATAACCAAGAGTGCATTCCTGGATCGAGGTCTCCACTTCGAATTAAAGTAGGACCGCAGTGAGTCAGCCATCAATTGAACACATTTCAATTATATACTTGTATGTCGTTAAGTACATACGTCAATAGTGGTTTTCAACGGAGTAGCCTGTCCAATACGATGTACGAATTCACAAAACATCTTTAGTATAGGAACAGTTCCTTAAGACGTTTTGATGCAAAAGTTTATATTCAAGGGCATTTTGTTTCTTAAATATAACAATCATAAGACAAAACAGCATTAAGGCAAGAATGTTTCAATGAATATATAGTTGAAAATCATAACCCATATCCTGTTAGTTGGGTGGATACCGTTGGGCATATACTTGAACTTGAAAGAACTTGCATATAGAGACAACGTATTTCAGCCGATATATTGTTGAAACTCATAACACATATCCAGTAATCTAGAGTGATTACCGTTAGACTTATGAAGGAAAAGTATTTCAGTCAATATATACATATATATACCCCACAACACTTTGACTAAAATGATAAAAACATTTCTGTTTTACCTTTATAATCACAAACGTATAACATTCGCAAATAAGTACCTTCTTCCCTTGGCTTGTTTCCGAATTTAAAAAGGCAAATTCACAAAGAAAACAATTACAACATCGAGTGTTTCCCTTTTTTCTGAGCTGCATTAAAACATCAGGTTATGAAACAACCTTATTACTTTAATATTAAACGGATACAAATTTAGCATAGCATACGACACTCAATCACTTACAATGTAAGATTAAAGTATGGTTAGCTTTACGATAACTTAACGCAAATATTTCATCTACGGGTAGTGTACTTTAATAAATATTGGAAATTCAAAACTAAACTAAAACAGCATTATGAAGATTTAAATTGACCATTCAAAGACACAAAAAAAGTGTAAATATCTATATGAATTCAGATTTTTTTCTGAAAATTATAATTGAAAGTTTGCGTTAAATACTGGTTAATCTAATCGGGCTTTACACGACCAGGTCCATATCTATAAAGACTCATCATTCTCACTTCCTCTCGTCTCTATATATCACAGATACTCATCAATACTAGAATATGACATCACCCTTACAAGTATTGCTAAAACAGCCAGATACCAAATACTACACCAGTACACTATCATTGTACAGTAAATAACGTGTACATATACCACAGTAAATAACGTGTACATATACCACAGTAAATAACGTGTACATATATCAGGGTACTATCAGCCTGTAGGTTATATATAATTATATAGCAACCAGTACACTATCATAGTACAGAAAATAACGTGTACATATACCAGGGTACCTATAGCCTGTAGATTATATATAATTATATAACAACCAATACACTATCATAGTACAGTAAATAACGTGTACATATACCAGGGTACCTATAGCCTGTAGGTTATATATAATTATATAACAACCAGTACACTATCATTGTACA